TGACAACGCAGTTGTCGTCAATAATAGCACTCATTTTTGAATGTTCGAGATTATTGCATACGGTCTATCATTTTCGCCCACTCAACATGTTAGTTTTGCATCTGTGAGTGTTTGCCAGTAAAGTTGTGGGGAAGACTTATCAGATTCAAACTTGCTGCATTACAAGGAATATTTTATGCTTTGAGTTGTAGCCTTGTTGATGTTTTTAATAAAGTTAGGGATGTGAACCGATACATGCTTTGCTACCTTCCTATTACATTTCTGCGTTTTTTTTAAAATAAATTTTTTTTCGAGAAGAAGCCCCGCTGTATCGTAATGAATATCAAATGCAGTGAACATAAAATCTTATTGCATGCGTTCCTTAGTTGCAAGATAATTATAAAGTGCATGCAAATTGCTTCTTAGTATATAAATGGAAAATAGGTATGAGGGGTTCATTGTTATTTGTTCAATTGCGCAGGCGCGAGTTGTTTTTATAGGTGGGTTGGATCGAGGTTGTATTTAACCGGTTTAATGGGTGATGAAGATGAAATACCTGATTTTAAGCCGGGCAAGGTTCGTACAGCGTTCTCACTGCATTTAGTTTTACTAAACAGTTTTTTTGCAATGATTATGAATATGGGGAACATTAATGAATAATCTGTTTTGAGATATTTAATTAAACTTCACACTCTTCTATTTGTAGTATATGTTCAACCATAGAAAGTTCTGAAGAGAACTGTGAAAGAAGTGAGAATAGAGAAACGGTTGAAATGATACATATACTGTAATAAGAGGCGAGTGTTAAGATTAGATGGTATGATGTAATGAGGAAAACGAGTATTAATGATATATTGCAGTGGTAAAAGTTACTCTCTACTTTGTATACGAATTTTATGCAAAATGATCGATATATTTTATCATGCATACATTTTGATATTATATAAATCAGGTTATCCAAGGGCGGTGGAAGATAATGGAGAAAATTGGAGCAGGTGGTTGTGGTGCAGTTTATGAAGTTACTCATATTAAAAGGAAAAATTTTATAGCAGCTCTTAAAGTGATTTGTTTTTCTTAATACAATTCAATAATTTTGGAGGAAGCGAAGAATTTTGAGAAATGAAACATTTCATAATTTTAAAGCATCATTGCTGCACACAAGATGACTGCATGTTTTTATTTAAGTAGCCTGGAATATTAAGGTTGAATCAACAACGTTGCCAGATGGAGGTGTATTGAAATTGGAAGCTTATGTTCTAGGGAAATTGAGCAGCGCCTCAAAAAATACCATCCGTTTACTGCATTCTGGAAAGAGATCTAAATACAGGTTATTTTAAGTTTAAAAGATAATGAATTGTTTTGCTATGAAAAAGATCAAGACTTTAGTTTACCATAAGTTCATATTTATTTTCGAAAACAATTGTGAAATTGTATAGATGAAGCAAACAAAAGCACAAAACAAATGATATACGATTTACTGTTTACCCATCTTCAAGATTTATCTTTTGACCAACTCCGTGATAATCGTTCATGGATATGTGGTTCATCCAAACCCCTAATTTTTAATTTTTGGAATGATTTATGATTGCCAATAGACCATTTAACCAAATTGTCATTACTTTTAAAATTTTAAATTGCGTACCTTTGTTATGGCATATTGTTCTACTACAATTTTAGAAAAACATAAAGTCTTTTAAAAAGAAACATTTTATGTTTTTTTAAAAGGCTATCGTTAGTAGAATTCAACCTCGAATAATTCGATAGAATATTGACTTTAATAAATCTCATAATGTAATTTTCATAGATTCATCATACTATATTGTTTTGGAATTTTGGAGTAAAGCTAATTTCAACATTTCAATCCTTGACAAATGCCCTAATATATTTGATAGTGAAAAATGCAACTGAAATAAAAACTATTTTTCAATACAGAAATGTTTCAAGCGTGCCCAAATGCATTGCTGTAATTTAAATGCCATTAGAAGTTAGCACTAAAAAATAGCATGGATTGCAATCTTTCTGTAAATCAGCAACGAAAATGTTTGCATGCACTTGTTCAAATCCTCAAATTTGTAGTTTTATTGTGATGACATTATGCGGTCCAGATTTGATGTTTCTGAGAAAAATGAAAGGTATCAATGCGATCAAGCGAGATGACGATCATTTCTCATTTGAAACAACTTTGCGCGTTGCTGTGCATTGCTTGTTCGCTATTAAAATGGTAATTTTATTTTGTTCCTATAAAAAATTTCCATAGTGCACTAGTTAGGCTGAATGAAGAAGTAAATTATTAGGTTATTTTTGAAGGATACAAGTTTATTTGATCATCTTATCATAAAGTTTGCTATTTTTAGCTTCATGAAGTTGGTTTTGTACATCGGGATGTCAAACCGGGTAATATGGTAATTGGTATAAATGGGCGGGATTGCAGGACTATTTTTATGATTGATTATGGTAATGATAACATATTGTGTTTTATTTATTCAAATAGAACGGTTTGTAAGTTCAATTTTACAAAATAATCAAATTGAAATGAAAATATTGACCAATCAATAGGTATGGTAAGATCTTTTGTCCTGGAGGATGCTGACACACGAAAAATTGTACTGCGAAAACCTAGAAAACGTGTTTTGCTACGGGGAACATTACGTTATTGCTCACCAAATGTCCATCGACGTATGGAGCAGGTTAGATCTGTAAATATTTCTGCTTCCCTTAATTTCTCATATCATCATTTATCATGTTACAATAAGCTAGCTTTTAACATTCATGAATTGAGCGTAAATTGATGATTTACGTGATATTGTCTTCATCGTCTTGATCGGTATTATCAGGGACGAAATGATGATCTGTTATCTATGCTTTACATGCTCATCGAGTTATGTTGTGGTTTACCATGGAATACGATTAAGGACGAGAAGGTGTTACTACAAATGAAGGAAAGAATTACAACAGATAAACTTTTTAAAGTAATTAAATGATTAATTTTGTCGCCTTTGCTTTATTATCGCTAGAACTTTCTGTATTTGCATTAAAAATTACACAAACTTACAGTAGAAGAGATTTAATTCAAAAATTAAAACGTTAAATTTAGTTGACGTTTCTGAACTGGTCGAGTTGAAATTCGATAAATTAGTACTTCCAACATAATTTCATTTGCAGAAAACTCCGATTGAATTTGCACCAATTTATGAACATTTAATGAAATTGCAGTATAAGGATCGACCGGACTACAAATTTATATATGATCAGGTTAATTGATTAATATTTTTCGATTCTTATTGTATCAATTTAACTAAAAATGTGAGAATAAATTATTGTAACTTGTAGTTACAGAGAAAGCTACAAAAACGAGATAAATTTTAAAATTGAATAAAATAAGATATAATATTTTGGGGATCCTGAATTCTTGAAATTTTCTAATTTAAAATATTTACTGAAAATGTTTATTTGGGTGAAAAGAAGATGTAATGCACTACGTAAAACATAAATGGCTCTTTAAAGATGGCCAATTATAGCTTATGAAAGGTGTTCGACGATTGGGGACACATTTTGTGGATGCGTATGATTGGGAGGATGATAAAGACATTCAAGAATCGATGCAGTTGCAGACAGCCTTATCATATCGTGAAGAAGATAGGAGAGGAAAAGGGAATAGAAATAAAACGGAGAAAAAGAAAGATTTCGACGGTAATTGTTGAATGTAATGAATTAGTATTTAATAAATATTAACTGTAGGGAATAGGTTAATGAAACTTTCATATTATTGGTTAGTTTTACAGTTTTATAAGATCGGTCAGTTTTGCAAGATCAGTGGTCAGTGTTTTCATACCAAATAAATAATGCATCAAGGAGATAAGAACGAAGAAGAGGATAAATCTCATTTTAAACAAAGATTCCTTAAAAAATATTTCAGTTGGAATGAATACCTTTCTTTTGCAGATCCGTATTATCTCGATTTCCGATATTATCCAACAACCG